ACATCAGCAATTAGAAAGTACATGCACTGTACAGGATTGACTTACTTAAAGTGCTTTAATAAATTAAAACATAGAAAACTGACAGCAGAAAAAGACTAGTGGTCTTTCGAGTCTTTTTCTTCATTCATTCATTCATTTAATGTTTTTACGTTTTATATATTTTTTATTTTTATCAAATAATGGACATGTGATTATCCCAAGTATGTTTAAACTCAGTCTAACCCTCAAGCATTTATTTATTTGTGGTTCACGCACATTGATTTTTATTAGCTTCCATGGAATAATATCTGGTAATTGAAACTTGTTTATTTTTTTAAATTTGGACTACAAATAACATAAAAAGCACTGGAAACAAAACCCAAAAACCCATAATATACAGACAAAAACCCCAAACTAATAACCATCTCAGCCCAAGAACTAGAAAAATCAAGATTTCATGCCTTTTTGGAAAGTAAAGAAGATGGTGATGTATCTTTGATATCCAACCCTCAATAAATGATCAAAACAGGATTTCAAATATTTATTGGAAATATAATCAAAGAGTAAATTCTTCTTGGATGGATATCTAAGAAAACTAGAAAATATTAAGTTAAAATATTTATGTTGATTTAGAAGATTTTAAAAGTGAATGTACTATTATAACCAGATATGTGGTTTTTTTGCGGAAGGCGGGGGGGATTATAGGCTAAATCTGTTGAAAGATCTTATGGACTTTTATTCTTTTATACATGGCAATGGTGGAAAAACACCGACATGCACAAAGTAGAAAGATATATAATACCTAAATTGAAAAATGAATGGAATTGATAGATTATTATAACAAATTGCTTATAAGAAAGCTATATTCTAGATATTGATAGATTATTATAACAAATTGCTTATAAGAAAGCTATATTCTAGATATTCAGCTTTTTGATATAATGATGATATGGATTTGATTCAGAGAGTTCAAGCTCAAGAGAAATAATCAAATCAAATATCATCCAATTTATATTCACAGGCACATTTAGGTAAAACAAATGAGCTAGAGTTAAATGAATTCAAAACAACAATACTAATTTATTATTTGCTAGCCAGTAGAGAATAATATTTAAAAGAAAAAAATGGCTGGACAGATTCTTTTTCAATCTATTCCCAATTCAATTAAATAATAGATTCCTTCAATCTTACTTTATATGCAAATAAACAAGTATCTCTCACATTTATTTGTCAAACAATGAAGAACTGCAACTTTCTTGTGCTTTCTTATGCTTATACGGGATTATTGGTCATAAAGAGAAACATGCTGGTTTAAAAAAAATAGTTATTAAGGCATTAAGTGGATTTTCCTTTGGAGAATGGGATGTGATTTTAATTGTTTTTTAAATGGGGATCTATCATTGTTGTGGATCTATCATTGTTTGTTGCTTTATATCAGCAATTCTTCAGCTCTTGTTACAATTCAAAATAATTGCAGCATTTCATAGATGCTAATTTCACAATCTGAAATTCTAACAGTATATCTAATTTTTTTTTATCCATTAGCCATTCAGTGTCTCCTCTCCATCCCTTTGTTTTGTTTATAATCTCTCCTAATAAACAATTCTCAAAATATAAAAAAAACTTTGCATGCTATTTTGCAATCCTGAATCGGTCTGGTAATAGTACTGTAGAATATATTTAGGAATGTTTTTATGAACCACATTTGTAGCCCACTTTCTTCCCAGGAACTCTTCATTTTCAATAGGAAAAATGTAACTAGAAGTGCCACAAAACCTGCATTATTATGCAGTCTAATAATCAAGAAAAGGAGGATTTATAATAACAAGGCACCTCATTATAAAACAATGATAAAAGGTTGGTAATTTGCCATCGCTTTTGGAAAACAATGGGTTCATTTTTGAACAAATTAAGTTATTTATATGCCTGTGCACTTCCATTCATTCCTTAGCATATTGGAAAGAACAACTAATGGCTGTTTCTATTTGGGCTGACAGACTTGCAAAGGCCATTTTACATTATGCCAACTGCAATTGCAGCAATTACAACCTGCTAGAATAAAAATATCTAGAGCTAAGGTAATAAGCCATTTGTTAAGTGACACAGAGTGATTGTAATCACCATTACTCAAGCCTTCTATAATCCAGTTTAAATTTTAAGAGCCTTACTGTGAATGCCCAGGCGTATTTCCAATGCTTTATTGGTCCTAGAGACTGGACTAATCTTGATAAAGGCTTGTATGTGGTTCTGCCACCCTAAATTTTAAATTACAATAATCTTACAGATAACTCTCTTGCTTTCTTGATCTTTTAAGATAATTACTTATCAATTTGGAAGAAAAGCATACATTTAGATCATGGTGCTCAGCTGTGAAAAAGCTTTGATGGACCTTAAACAATGGGTTCTTCATAATTATCTTAAAGAAATCTAACTGCAAAGTCCCTTCTTGTATGGAACCAATGTGATTTTTCTCAATTGCCATAGCTACTTGTTATTTAATAGTGTAGCTACTTTGTGGATATTTTATTCAGCTACATATACATTCAGATATAATTATTTGTTCTAGTCTAGATATGACAGACTGTAAATAAAGCTGATGGTGTTAATAAAAATGATGATAATTCCCAAGATTGCACACTTTAACACCTTGAGATTCTTTATATATAAAGGCTTAAATAATTTTACTTCCCTTACGATCCTTGCAAGCTATGGTGATATTCGACTGGTTCGGTCCGGTTCTGGGGAGCCGGTAGTGATGAGCAGCGGAGACTGAACCGGTTCTCTCCGCCATTCTGCTGTTGCGCCCACCCATCCATCTGGGCTCCCATACTCACTTTTATCTGCTGAATTTGAAGCGCAGCTGCTTTGCACGGCACAGTATAGTGCTGTGTGGCAGCTGCTGAAGCAAGCGTGCAAGCATCGTGCAGGCTTGCAGGAAGCACCCACCAAGCCACACCCATCGAACTGGTGGCAAAAATACTTGAATCCCATCACTGCTTGCAAGGATATGTACCTACATGTAATGATTTGTGAATGGCTGCTCTGAGAGATATAGTGCTCTAATTAATTTAGCAGAAGACTCAAACCACTTGAGTATTGCTTCCTTTTTATTTGAGTGAAAAAACTGAAGGGTAAACTATAGTTCAGTAGCTGTATCTCCATGTTTTCCTTTTTTATGCTATTTAAAAAGGAGTTTTAATGTATAAAATAATCCATCTGTTCATAATTATGCAGCTAGCTACTTTAATGCTTCTCAGTTCTATCAGATCGACTGCATCTGTTGTCTCTTCCTTCAAAGTAACTTAAATTACTTTTTGTTAAATTGATTTGCCTATTGCAACTCTAAGTTAGGGTAGGGCAGGATAGGATAGGACAAGGTAAGACAAGAAGCAAAAGTTTGGGTAGGATAGGTAATGTAGCATAGGGCAAATAGAAAAAAAATGAACTGTCATGACTAATTTAAGACACAATCTGCGAGATAGATTGAAAAGAGACTTTCTTCCCTCATTTTATATATTTGTGTTGTAAAACTTAAGAAATATCAAGGGACTTGAGAAGTTTTCTATTTTTGTGGGACTTGCAAAATTTCTATTCTTGTATATGTAATAATAAGTACGTTGCCACAAAAAGTATATCCCTTGTATCAATAGTGAAACTATTTTCTACTCTGACCATCTATTATTTTTTCTGAAATCTCTCCTCCACCCCATTCATATATCTCCCCTATATTCATTATGGTACAAATAATTAAAATCAGTACATGGATTTTTAATTTGAATATATGGATTTAAATTTTTCTTTCCAAAGCTAACAGTTTAATCTTGCTTAATGAACAAACATTTATCATTTAGTGACAGAAGAAAGTCCTAATAGATTGTTTTCTCTCAGTTTCTAAGATTTTAGTCAGGATACTAAATCTAAATGCATGATAAAATAACATTAATTAATCATGACAAAACAGCAGTCTGTATTTGTTTGAGTAATAATTGATAATAAATAGTGTATTTAATCATTTAACAATTTGTTATTGCTGTGCAATCCATAATCCCATAAACAAATAGGTTGAAGTAAAACAACTAGAACAATAAACAGTGTACTAGTATGATAGGGTCCACGCCAATTAATAATAACCACATTAATTTCAGGCCTGACAACAGAGCCAGATCTTAAGGATTTTCTGAACCCCAAGAGAGGAGCACCATCTGTATATCTAGGGAGATACTTATCCAGATGGTGTGGGTTACAACAAAGAAGGCATATTTCTTCAATCCCACAAGAAGGCAACATTTAATTGAAGGGACCTGGAGCATACCTACTCTGTTGGAACATGCCGGTCAGTGGTGGGTTCAAAAATTTTTTCTATCAGTTCTGTGGGCGTGGCTTATTTAGGTGGGCATGGTTTGGTGGTCATGTGATTGGGTAGTCATGTCTTGGTGGTCATGTGACTGGGTGGGCATGCTTGGTAGTCATGTGATTGGGTAGGCCTAGCCAACTCAATATCACTCATGTCAAGGGGTGCCTTGCCTGGCCCCTCCCCTCCAAGCCATTCCTTGTCACACCCAGCCTCAACATATGTATAGTTCTATAAAAATGTTGCTCACCTTTTTTTGACTTTATTATCTACGTACTATAGATGTGCTTTCATGGACCACTGAAAGGAGGACATGCTTTCCTCAAGAGTGTGATAGGCAACAGGCTTTTTAGCAGCTGCCAGAAAGCGGGGGGCAATGTATTTTCCAAAGAAGCAGAATGCAAACAAGAAGCAATGGATGGAAACTGAACAGAGAGAGAAGCAACTAAAACAAGGGAGAAACTTCCTGACAGTGAGAACAATTAACAGGCAGATCAATATCTATCTAGTAAAAACTATTGCTCAGTCTTACACCCTATTTTTTATGTGAAAAATGAGGTGAATAAATATCACATAACTATATATACCCTCAGCATTGGAGCACATATAAATAATTTTTAAATAAGCTGGGAACATATGGACAAATACCTTATTTAAAAAATCTATATACCTGACATGCTGCTGGGAGTCAAAAGAAAGTAGTCATTCTCATTCTTCTTCTCCGGTGTCACCTGTTAAAAATATCAATATTTAATGAATATAACTTTATTATATAATAATATGCAAGAGCCATTTTTGAAGCAGGGTGTTTATTTTTAAGAATTTTGGATGGTTTTTGCTGTTTTGAGAATGATTTTTTCCATAGGTTGGAAATGTGCTTCTAAGCACTACTTCTAAGTGCCTTTGGGAATATCTTGAAACTACAGATGATCCTTATTTACCAACTGCCTCATTCAAAAAAGGTATGATGACTAAAAAGATAACTTTATGACTAATGTCTGCATTTATGATCTTTGCAACACTCCTCAATCGCACCTCTCCTTTACAGTCCTGTGCCTAACCTGTTGTCTCCCCCACCCCACATATAGACAGAGAATAGGGAGAAAGGGATTATAAGAGAGTAAGCAGGCATACAATTAAGAATATCCGGAACTTTTTGTATAGCATGTTGTGACTGCTAATGTCAGAACATTACTTTCAATGTCTTTTCCCCATCCTGCTTAGTCTCTTGTAATCCCTTCCTTTCCAATATGTAAATGCAAACATTAATTCCCTTCTTGCTTTAGTATCAAAGTGAAAATTCCAAAGGATGGAGAAGTATCCATCTTTTCTCTTTCCTATATCCTTTAACTATTTCTTTTTCTGCCATTGTATTTATTTGCATATTATTTTAATCTTCTTGCTCATCTTATTTATTTATTTATTTATTTATGGCCTTATGGTCTTATGGATTGTGTATTTGTATGTTTTATTTTTATTTAAAGCAAAGACTGCTCAATGAACATAATAAATATAATCACATGTAGAAACCCTAACAATAGGATAAATATCTTAGGGATAATTCTCAGGGATATTAGCCTCTAGCTCCTCCCTGTGGATATCTGAAAATATTCATGTGAAGAATATTGATGGTTGCTAGTCTACATAAGGCACTGTGGACATATGCAGATTAGAATTAGGAAATTTGGTGAGTTTTCTAAAGAAAGGAAAAACTGCATTCATGTGATCAGAATTATCTCTGGACATTCTGGTTATATGAGTCATATGGTAGATAACATTTTGCCCAAAGAAAACATTTAAACATAATTTGGTTGTTTCTTCATGTACAAAGGAAGAAGAAAGGATATGAATGATCTACAAGTCCATTTTGATATGGTTAAGGTTTCATTATACCTTATCAATCATGTTTCGAGAGACAACACTTCTTTTTTTCAAGATCTCTCTGATCTAGACAAAAATGTCGAGACTTTTCTGTGGCTTCTTTATTTTGTATACTTCAACCAATCCTATTTATTTTCCAAGCAATTTTTATTCTACATTTTTATGTTTGACAAACTGCTTCCTTTCCTATTCTACAGCCCATAAAGTTGTGTCATTTGCACTGATTTATTGCTAGGAAGATTAGGATTGGGAACAGGAAACAAAATGTTCACCAGCTAAGTACTAAAAATCTCAAAGCCAAGATTCCTTGTGTTCAAATTTTATGATTTGGTAAGGTTTGGGGAAAGGGTGGCTTCTGCTCTTTTCTTGAAATTTACCACAAAAATTTGCAACCACAACCAGCAGATCACATAAACTATGAAAATATTTTGTCTACTAAGTCCTATGATTTTCTGCCTGAAATCAATAAATCAATTAAAAGTGAATTATACTTGCAAATGATAGCTAATGATAAAAAGAAAACCACAAAATGTTTTAAAATAATAATTTAACCTAAGATAAACATTTTTGGAACAATATGTTCAGAATTTAACAATGTAACTTATTCAGAAATACCTAGTATACTCTCAAAATTCACTGGGTTATGTTATAAATTAAAAGCATGTATTTCCAGTTATTGTCTTCCTTCTCTGGAATAATACCTTCCCATGATATTCAAATGACTTCCTTCCTGATTTTCAGTAAGTTTTTAAAAAGATGGTTATTCCATCAAGTTGTATGGATATAGTGCTACTGAAACTATTCATCATGTGTTTCAATTCTCAACATTCAAATTCCCAATTTATGTTGGTGAACTGCAATTTGAGGTTTTTAGTTTGATAAACGTATCAAGAAAAAATGTACAATACAACGAAACAGGATAGAAACAATAAAGCAATTTGATATCCTACTTAATAAAAACAGTAATAAGACCCAGGTCAATTTACTGATAACAAAGTTTAATTTCTACAAATAAGTGATAGCTTATACTTAAACAATATTTGGCTGTTAGAGTTTCCTATAAAATTCATCTGGTCTCCAGAAAATTGAATCTATAGAATTCAATTAAGCTTTTATTGCATATAAGGCCTATGTGAAAAGAACTAATACCACTAATGGATAAATCCTTAGTAATGTCATATACTAAATATACTAACATACTTATTATTAAACTTAACACACTTAATATTAAACTCAATTCAATTGCTCTAATAATAATGTAAACTAGATTACTTATATTAAGTTACCTTACACTAAATTAAATTGTGCTGCAAACACCTTATCACTGACATTCTGTGCACAATTCCCTCAAACTATACATAATTCCTTCAAAAATGACATAAGAAATTAATGTTTAGTGATTAAAAAGCTTTAGTGTATTAATTCTTAAAACAAATTATATTTCTGAAGCAAACTTTTCCATATCAGTTCAGAGCACTTACATTTAAATTTTAATAAGGGACAGTTTATCTTCTGTGTGAATTTTTATCATTGTTCTTTGTGACAGTTGATAGATAGTAAGTGCTTTTTGTCATCATTTTCAGCTCACCCTAATTGCCAATCAGCTTAGAAGAAGGCTACTAAAATGTCAAATAATAAGATAAATTTTTGAACAACTTGATTAGTAGATTTATTAATTGTAATTTAACCTTCAAAAAGAGCTCTTCAATAAGCTAAGCACAGGAAAAGTGAATTAATGTGTTACCCATCTGTTCTGTTATCCTACAATAAGTGAAATATTATTGAATAGCAGTGTATGTTTTTAGGAGTACCCTAAGGTTTCAATTTGAAATATAAAATCAGCATACTTTAAGGGCAGATTTTTTTATATCTAAAAAGTAAACATTACCATAAAAAATAAATCACTGCAACTGATAAATAATTCCTGACTCTAGAAAAAAACCCAGGCAAGCAAACAGAATTAACTGTGCAAAAAAGGAAGATAATGTTCCTGTTTCAATTTCAGTGTAAGTTGCTAACACTGAGGACTATTTTTTTCTTTGCTACATGATCCAAATGAATTAAAAATTGGAAGACTTATTTTGATTCAGGAGAGTGCTTCCATTTACAGAATGAGGCAGGAAATATAGGTGTTCATTTACCTTTTCCTCCTGCAATCTTCTACCTCAGGGATCCCCAACTCCTGGGCCATGAACCACTACTGGACCGTAGCCTGTCCAAAACCGGCCACAGGAGAGATGGGCAAGCACGCATGCATGAAGCTCCATTTGCACAAGTGGTGGGCAAGTGCACATGTGAACTGAGGGCAGATGTGCTTGTGCATGAAGCTTCATCCATGCACACTAGCACAACCACCCTCCTCGCATAAGTGCAGCTTCGTGTATGAGCACAAATACCCTCTGTTTGCACATGAAGCTCCATTTGCACAAGTGGAGGGTGTGCCTGGCCACCGCTTGCACAAATAAAGCTTCTTGCATACAGGTACACCTGCCACTCATACGCCCCCCATGCCAGGCCCCCAAATTTGAAAAGTTGTGGACTGTTGCTTTACATTGACAGAATAGCTTGATAGGAAGCAGTAGAAAGCTGCAATAGACAGATGGAAATGGTCTTCTTCTCCTTCATGCTGGCATAAGAGCAGAAATTTATTGAAACATTGGTCCAAAACTTTTTCAGACTTTGAGAGCATTAGAAGAATATATTTTAAAAACAGACATGAACAATAGAAGTACAAAATAAATTAATTCTGTTTTTGATCCTACAGTAATTTCCTCCAGCAGTGCTAATAACTACTTCCAGTCAGGCTTGAATTTATGGAATCAGTGCATGAAAACAATTAAGCTTGCTCTCCAATGGCATTTTCAGAATCAAAATTACTGTTTTTTATACTGCAATGAAGTAAATAAAACCAGTTGAGAAATGATAAGTAATCTCAAATGGTTAAACTTCCAAAATGTACTAGAATTTTCTCAAGGGCTTGTAAAATGAAAAAGAAAAGATTTGATAATAGAAGGATATCTTTGTTAATGTTTTTTCTATGCACAATTAATATAAAGATTTAAGAAGAATAAAAGATTTTATACTTTTGTACAAAGCAAGATTAATTTGAAATGGAATTATATGCTAATTATTAAAATGTTATTGCTAATATGTATAAACATTTGCTAAAATATGATACAGAAAAAGAACAAATGAAATAATGTATGACAAACTAGGTTGAACATTTTGGTTATAATATACAAGTGGACCAGTATAGAAATATGTGATTGAAAAGACTGAAAATTACATGATATCTAGCCTTAAAGATACTTTTTATAAGATGATTAGCTGGATACCTGTCCTTTCCTTTCCTTCCTCCTTTCCTTTCCTTCTTTCTTCCTTTCCCTTTCCTCCTTTCCTTTTATATATATTGTCTAGAATGTATAAATGAACTTTGAATCTTTGCTAGAAATGTGAACAACATGTTTGCTGGAGATGTAAAGGAGATGAAACAATGCAGGTACAAATACATGTATTAATGCAGAAGATTTTATGTTGAAGACTATGTAAAGCTGAAACCAGATTTTTATTAGACTTATAGACAAGCAACTAGAAAAAAAGTCACAGAACTTTGCTTTTATATATGACAACTGCAGTGAGACTGTTATATACTTAAAAGTGGAAAGGCTCAACATTTCCTATCACAGAAGAATGGTTGGTGAAGATGATAAAACTTTTAAAGTTGGCTTAACCTTTTTGATTACAGACAAAATATTATCTATATTTGACTGGTAACAAAAGTTTCCAAAAGATTACAACAGTCATTTGTAATCATAGAGTAATAAAGAATTTCATAAATGTACTTACAGAATATTTGTTGCAAAGGAAATCGGAATCTTCTCCTTTCTTTCTTTCTTTCTTTCTTTCTTTCTTTCTTTCTTTCTTTCTTTCTTTCTTTCTTTCTTTCTTTCTTTCTTTTTCTTTCCTGCTTCTGCTATTTATTACCTTGTATTAGTTTTTATGTATTGTGAAACATTAATATTTTTTTAAATTTTTAAACATGTGGTAAATAAAAATGATGAGTTGGGAGTGGGAAACTAGTGGTCTATGGGGCAAATATGGTCTCAGCATACTATATGCAAATGCCGAGTCTCCCCATAGTGGATGAGGTATGATTTTTTTTTCAGATTATGGAGGATAACAAATATCTGTTTAAAAGAAATGGACACTTGCAGACATTTTCAAAACTACACATAGAAACTGCAACCCATTTCCAAAAAGAATTGAATCAATTTTTACTATTTTGGTGGAAATGCACTGAAATGGCAAAAAAAAAAAAAAAAAAAAGGGAGGGGGTCCTTTTATAAAACTCCTGAAAGATAAATAATACTTGATGTTTATTTTTTCAAAGAAGTGGAAACTAAAGAAACAATATACTGTATATTTAAGGTATATTTATTGTTAATAGTTGATTCAGATTGAAGCATAATAGTAAAAGAAGTTTTGATATTATGTTTATTTTTGTGAAAAGCAAACTATATAGGACATGTGTGATGACCCAGAGTATATCAGAAATATAAAAAAATCCAAAACGTAACTAAAAGTCCTTTAACGCTTTCAACTTGACTTCACTGTTTAATTGTTCACAGTGGAGTAAACTATTTTCAAAATAACATTTCAAAGGAAAGAAACAGTTCAAATTCAAGAGCTGATAATGAAGCAAAAACCAAAAACAAACCGCATTGAATAAAGTTCCTCGACAGACCAAAATAGATAATTGCCAAATTCAGGAAGATAACCAGGGAGAGTCCGTTGGAAGAACCAACCAAGATAAACCTTTAGAAATAAATCACTAATTGTCTCCACTAGCACGCAGGTTCAAACTCTTATGCAAATCTCACACCTGCAACCTACTCCTCGTGAGTAGATCATGTTTTACCCTGATCCTCTCCTCCCGGTGTGCCCTAGAATGGAGAGGGGATGGGCCTGGGTCCTCCTCTGAGTGCTCAGCTGGCCTCTGCCCTTCCCCAGCCTCCTCCACCACCTCTGGAGCCACACTTCCACTCCTGTTGGCTGTTCCTCCTCTTCCTCAGAGTCAGTCTCCACCAGGGGCATGACAACATGAGAACAATTGGTTTTAAAAGAAAAAGTGAAGTTTTCATGAGGTTAAATTTGATTTTGATAACTATATGGCCATAAATATTATTTGTGCTCTGCACCAAACATATTTCCTTCTAACTTGTAGTCAAACCAAAATTATTTTCCATCAAAATATACAAAACAAATAAAATCCAATCAATGCCATCAATACTACAAATGTTATAGAAAGAAAGGCTTTATCTGTATAGTGCGCCTTTATATAAAGTGTGTGGAAACTGTCGTTTAATCTAATTTAGTCTAAATTTCTCTATAATTAAAATATATTAGACAGGAACATCACAACCTGCTTTAAGAACAATACTGTCAGCCATATTGCATTTGTATTCTATGCAACTGGAAGAACTAATTTTCTTTGGAAATGCTCTGAAGTTGCTTTTTTTCTCTCTTATGTTTGTTCAAGCATTATTTTTTAACCAAGGAAGTTCCGTAATATCTGAAAAATACAGGATATTTTTTTCTGCTTACAAGATCCAATGGGAAAACTGGTTAAAATATTGGATTATAATCAGAAGAAAGCCAAGGCTCTAGTCCTTGTTTTGCTATTGAAATACACTGGGAGATTTTGGAGCATTTTTTATTCTCAAACGAAATTGCTGTAGTGAGTTAAAATGAGAGGAGGAACTACTTCATTAGGCATGTTATCTAGTATTTTTGAATTAACAGATGATAATTCTCCTGTCAAGACCAAATTACATAACAGTGGCAATATGTCCATAAACTTCCTTTTCAAAAAAGCATGCAATGTTAAAAGTTCTAAATAAATGTATTGTAAGCCTCTCCTAAACTGTAATAAAAAGGAGATCTGTTCCAACAGCAGTTTAGTTATACTAAAGTAATCTTCTATGTCATTTTTTTTTGTCTATAAATAAGAAGATTGGTCATGCTTCATACCTAATGTAATATGGAAATTGGAGCAAAATTTGGAATCAATGGTATAAACTTTTCCTGTGCCCGAATGCTGAACCTCATGAAAATGGATTAAACTTGAAAAAGAGACAAGTTAACTTTATTTTATTTTTTTCAAGTTAATCCTATTTCAGTCTTGTAAGTATTGCTAAACCAAAATGTTTTAAAGGAAACTGCCAAGATAAATAAACCTAAATAAATAAAACAGAAGACAAAGTCACCCAGTCATGAAAGCTCCAGATAATTTTGAGTCATTCACTCACTCTCAGCCCAATCCACCTCACAGGGTTGTTGTGGAGAAAGTGGGAGGAGAAAGATATGTTGGATGTGTTCACTACCGTGAGTTAAATACTAAAGGTTAGATACAAATAAACAAATCAAATAAAGACTTCTTCTCTGAAGACAATCCAAATTCTAGAATAATCAAAGCTGCAACACTGCCTAGCCTTTTTATTCTTACCTCACATGGTTTAACTATAAACATGCAAAAAAAAAAAATCCAATAATTCCTATAAACCAAATAGAGTAAAATTTAGGGAAGGAAAACTAGTGATAAACGGAACTGCAGTTGCCTCAATAATCTATATTCATTGGGAACCCATATCTCTTCCTAACTCCTTTTATGCAGTCCTTTCTTTTTCCTGCATGCAGCAGAAACAAAAGAATAAAAACAAATACTAGTTTTTTTAAAAAAGTACTAATGTTACAAGAAAGGAAAATACTGACTTACTTGCAGCACTAAACTCTTAATACATTATTTTCTTTTCTTAAATGCTGTTACTTAGGAACCTTTTACCCAGGGGAGGGATTCTACCGGTTCTGTCCTGTTCTATAGAACCAGATGCTATGATTCTGTGCAGTTCGCGAACTGGCAAATCACACCCCTGGCTGGCTCCACCCCTCCCCATTGGCCCCGCCCCTCCTTGCCCACACAAACAGCTGACGGATGGCGGGGTGGGGAGCTGGTCCTGGAAGCCCTGATGCTGCCAGAATTGCTGCCATTGCGTTCCTTGGGCACCATTGCCACCATTGATATTGGTGTCTTGCTGCTGCTTCATCCTGCCCCCCAGGTATGGCAAGCCCTGGGCCGGGGCTCAACAGCTTGCCTTTCTTCCCCCTGCTATGCTTCCCTCTTGGGGAAGCGAGGCTGGGAAGGCTGCTTGCAGCAAGGGAAATATGGGGGGAGGTGCGCTTCACAAATATGGGGGCAACGGTGTTGGAATCACCTCATTTGTAAAATGTGCGAAGTTTAAAGGTGCTGCGCAGTGCGAGCCTGCTCACAGCAAGGGAAATATGGGGGGAGAGGAACATGCTGTGCAGCACCTTTAAACTTAGCGCGCTTCATAAATGGTGCCTCCTCATTTGTGAAGCACACTAAATTTGGTGCTAAGTTTGGTGCTGCATGAGGCTACTCAAGGCAAGAAGGGAGGAATATGTGGCGGGGGGGGACTTTTCCCCTGAGACACTGTCTGGTGCTGATGCTCTTGCCATGGAGGAGAGAGATGAGAAACAGAGAGGGAAGGAGAAAGAAAGAGAAAACTATACTCCTGTAAGTATTGCAGAAGCAACATTCTCCCTTTCAGTTTCCACAGCCCCAACCAACCAGGAACAGAAATTTCATCCATGCAACAGCTGCATGACAGGAACAGGAAATTAAGTCTTCAAGTTCCTGGATATTGTTTCTAGCCGTCATTGAGCCTCAACAAACCAATGTTATTTCCCCCCCCCTTTGGGATAATTGTGTTATTCACCACATGCCTCACCTTCAAAACATGCTATGAATCTTTTAAAGAGGGCATAAATAAAGGACATTACCAGGATTTTTAAAAGATAAAGAAAATCAAGAATTTTAAAAGGTAAAGCGCGCACACACACACACCTCCCCAACTCTCTCTCTGTGTGTGTGTGTGTGTGTTTTCTCTCTCTCTCTCTCCTCCTCCCTCAAATCCACAGCTGGGCCAAGCCAGCAAGCTTTCCTTCCTTGGTGCTCTTCGCTACTTCTTTCATTTCTTTGTTTTGAAAGAATGATTGCCAACCACAGCCGCCGACCCAGCACCCGGTAGCTGCCGGTCTTGAGAGGAGGAGGGGGAAAAGGAGGGTTGCTTGAAGAGATGCTTCGATGATCAGTCTGAACTTGCTGGCTTGGCCCAGTCAGCTTTGAGACGGGGGGAGGGGGAGGAGAAGGGAAGATAGGAAGAGGGGCAGAGAGAGAGAGACACACAGAGAGATACAGAGGGGAGAGAGACACCCATAGAGAGACAAAGAGAGAGATAGAGGGAAAGAGAGAGAGAGAGAAGAAAGAAAAGCAAGAGAAAGAAGGAAAAAGAGAGGAAGCGAAAGGAAGCGATCTGTCTGATCTTGATGAAAACAAATCACCGGGGCCTGATGGATTACATCCCAGAGTTTTAAAGGAGCTGGCAGAGGTCATCTCAGAACCACTGCACTATATCTTTCAAAAATCCTGGAGCACCAGAGGACTGGAAAAGAGCTGATGTGGTTCCCATCTTCAAAAAAGGAAAAAAAAAACAGACCCAGGAAACTATAGACCAATCAGCCTAACATCAATCAATACCCAGGAAGATACTGGAAAAGATAATAAAAAAACAGATCTGCCAACATCTAGTAAGTAAAGTAATAACTAGCAGTCAGCATGGGGTTGTTAAAAACAGATCATGGCAAACCAATCTTATTTCATTCTTCAACACAGTGACTAAATTAGTAGACCAGTAAAATACTGTGGACATAATATATTTAGATTTCAGCAAGGCATTCGACAAAGTAGACCACAACCTACTTCTTAGTAAGCTAGAAAAAAGTGGAATAGATAGCACCACCACTAGATGGACTCACAACTGGCTGACAAACCGTACTCAATGAGTAGTCCTTAGTGGGTCTAAGTCTACATGGAAAGAAATAAGCAGGGGGTACACAAGGTTCCGTCTTAGGCCCAGTACTCTTCAATATCTTCATTAACGACTTAGATGAGGGAATAGAAGGGGAACTTACCAAATCTGCAGATGATACTAAGCTGGCAGGAATAGCTAACACCCAAGAAGATAGGCTCAAGATCCAAATGGATCTTGACAGACTAGAACACTGGGCCGTATCTAATAAAATGAAATTCAATATAGAGAAAAGTAAAGTCCTACACTTAGGCAAGAAAAACCAAAAGTATAGACTGGGTGAAACCAGGCTCAATAGCAGTAACTGTGAGAGGGATCCTGGAGTCTTAGTGGACAACCAGCGAAATATGAGCCAGCAGTATGCAGCAGCAGCCAAAAAAGCTAATGCAATCCTAAATTGTATTAACAGAGGGATACAGTCAAGATCAAAGAAGTACTAATACCACTCTATAAAGCCCTTTCTTTATGGCAGCTCCTTAAAAGCCTGTTGCCTCTCACCCTCTTGAGCAAAGCATGTGAGCCATTTCCTCCTTGCAGTGGTCCATGAAAGTATATCTATAGTACGTAGATA